GTAGTAGGTTCTGTGCTGTTACCACCAGGAGATGGCAGTAATCCAACTATAGGCTATGTAAGAAAAACGTGTTGCTAGACTAGTAAAACGTGGCTGACGCAGTGAGATTCCACGCTAATGTACTAAGAAGAGAGACCCCTTGGGTTTAAGGGCTTTACAAATGCAATGTAATGTAAATGTCATGTTTTATCTAGCAAAGTCTGTTATTATGTTTTTACAATGTCTTATTCATGGAGCCATATAAACATGAAAATACAAGTTACTTGTGACTTTGGATTCTGCCATGCATTAATAAAGCGGTATTTCCATTTTCCCTCAAAAAATAGCCTACAGCAATAAGGGGTCTTGGAAAGAATTGGAAAGTAGTTTTCTAACTGAACTGTGGGAAGAGTGTGGATGAGCTGATTACAGTGGGTTTTTCTTTTTCTTATAGAAGCCAGTCTTGCCTCCCCCTTTCCAGTTATTTCAGGCTGTCAAAAATAAGCTCCTCTATAAACAGGTGGGATAATTTTTATTTTCATGGGCTTTGGGACATAAAAACACTAAGGATAAAATCACCAGTTGCTTCAAAATAAGGTTGAATGGTTTTGGGGGTTCTTTACACTTCCCTGCAGGCTATGTACAAGGTTTTGTGACAATGCAGTCATGTTTATCAGAGCCAGAATGATACAGGATTTTTAAAACCGATGCTAATATTTGGTCATTTAAAATGCGATATTTCGTTGTCTGTTGGGTTTATCGCTACGTTTTTTTTCTTTCAGATGCATGAAAAACACTCAGATTACCCTAACTTTGTTATTTGCACTTATTTACGCTTTGCCTGACTCTGCTTGGATTAGCTGATTGTTGTTTGTGGCTTTTTGCTAACAGGGAAAGTTGCAGAGTGCTCTCTGGTGGACAAAGTGTGCAACGTCAACACTTGAAACATGGCTGGAAGGTGTTTCTCCTGTCTTTTCTTTTATCGGCAGTTAAAAATGCTATCAATAATCTTTCAAATAGCTAACATCAGCCAATAAATCATGTGTGTTTTCTATTCCGCCAGAGCACCAGAAACATTTGCATTAGCCAGGAAAGCAGTGTGTCGACTTACACATGTCTGCACTTTGACAAGTAGATACTGAACACATGCTAACACACAGTTGAAACTGTCATGTATCTTGACGTGCATCACTGCAAACAACAGTATCGGTTTTCCTGTTTAGCTATTGATTAGCTCCTTAGTGGTGCAGGCAGAACCACCACCATTTTTGGTATCTGGGAATTCTTCCATTGATCTCTAGTCAGGATTTGTTGAGCGTGACATCTCTTGTCATTACATGAATAAATCTACCATTTTCCTGCTTGTTATGTTTGTTTTCTTTGTTTATTTGTTTGCGTAACCAATTAAAACACATATCCTCATGTTCCAAACATGAACATATGAATTTGTGTGTCCCATACACGGGCCATCGTTTCAGTTTCTTTCTTTGTGTCTTGAATGTGTCTGCTGGTCACTGCAGTGAATAGGGACCAAGTGTATCAGTAATTAGTGGGTGTGCTTTGAGTTGGGATTACCATATGAATGGTGACAGTAGGGAGTGGGATCAGTGCTATATAACCACTCATCAGTGTGCTGCAGCACTCTGTAGACATTGTCCAGGCAAGTCACTGGAATCAAAAGTCATAAAAAAAAGTTTCAGCACAGAAATCTGTATGCAGTAGTTTTTTAAGCCTGCATGATTAAATTTTTTTACTTACATGGGCAAGATTTTGTTGTTGGGCAATAACAGCCAAAACTTACAAGCTTCTCTAGCATGGTATTTGTTGCCTGGCAACAACAGGAACCAAATTCAGCTGTGCTAACAAAATAAACTAAAGAAAATTCCTACATCTGTTACAACTTTTGACAGTGTTTGCTTATGAATTGTTTTAAGTGAGTTTCCTTTCCTCTGTTCTCAACTTAAAAGCATTATGTTAGGAAAAAAAAACACTGAACAAGTCTAAGTACATCTCAAAGAAAAAGACAGCTATTTTGCTAGAAATTAAATTTTACACTATTCTTTTGTTTGCCCTCACTCTAGCATAGCAAATGCATTAACTCTGCTTTCTAAATCAACTCCTAAATAGGCGTAAATGATAGGATATAAGAGAGTGTTTATAAATTTGGTATAAATCATTTTTCCTTTGACTTGGTGAAGCTTACAGTGGTATGTGCAAATGAAAATTTTCTATATGCCTGTCTTTTTTATAGACCTGTCAATCAGACAACATTCAAA